GATAAATCAAGTTCTGGAGCAGTATTTGAGATATACCATTAACTATCATCAAGATGATTGGACAACTCTTTTGCTATTGGCAGAGTTTGCATATAATAATTTGGTAGATTCTTCCATTCAACAAATACCTTTCTTTCACAATTATGGTTACCATCTACATCTTGATACTTTTGACTTTTCAAAAGTTGATAATCCTATGGCAAAAGATTTAGCAAATGGCTTGTCAAAGCTACATACAACAATGAAGATACAATTAAAGGAAGCTCAAGAATGACAAAAGATCAACGTGGATGCGTATTGCAAGGAGCAACCATAATATAATATTGGTGACAAAGTATGGTTATTTTGTCGTAATATCAAGACTACTCATCCTTATGATAAATTAGATTATCGTAGGTTGAGACCTTTTCTTATTTGTAAACAAATCAATCCTATTTTCCATCGATTACATCTACTGTAGTCTATGAAGATCCACCCTGTATTTCACATATCTCTTATGGAGCCATATAAGACAATGAATATCTTGGGAAGAAGACAAATGCCACCTCCTCCTATAGAAGTAGATAATAATTAAGAATTTGAGGTAGAAGAAGTCTTAGACTCAAGGTGGCACCAAAATAGATTGAAATATCTTATTTATTGGCACAGATATGATATTACTGAATGCACATTGGAGCCATCAAAGAATCTTGTAAATGCACCAAAGAAAGTTGAAGACTTTCATCAACGACATCCATCAAAATCAAGATGAAGAATAGCAAATCTTTGTTATAAAAGAAACAAGATCAAAGGAAAATAACATTCTACCTTCTATCTTTTATTGTAGCTTCTGTGTATTTGTGATGAGATAGAGTACTCACAACATGCAGATTCAACTCAAAAACTTTTATTTGCGGACTTATCAAACGAGACATTGCGATTGTCACAACCTTCAAGTTGATAGAATCAAGATGAAGATCTTCAAGAATGACATGTCCTTCCTCAAATAGATGGCGAGATACAACGTTGTCATATTGTGGTTCGGCTACTATATGAAAATAATGTAATCATGTACTTAATATATAATTTATTTAAGTAACATGGTGAGAGCCATGTTAGTAGATTTACTTGGATTCAGAATATAATTTGTTTTTTACCTTCAAAGAGGTTGTTTAAACTCATAAAATAAAATAAAATCATTTGCAATCAATTATACTTTAAAATGTTCAATGGAGCCATCACTAGCAAGTTTTTTCTCAAAAATCTATTTTAAATCTATAGCCTTCCTACCATTGAATAACAATAAAAATTTCCATGTACAATGATCTTTCAAAGAATTGAATTCTTTTTTCATGGTATGACTTCATTCTCTGTAAAAAAAGTGAATTCATGGCTTACTCAATAGTTTCTAATTCTGCATATTCATCAATATGAACCACATCTACTATTTCAATCAGCAAGTTATAATTTCTTCAAATAATTTTTTTATCTTTTTCTGAAGGCGTGCAACACATCCTACTACCACTTATAATATTTTCCAAGTTGATGCCACCTATATAATGATGTCTTGGTAGTAGAGCTTCAATGGTTACTTCTACTTCTAATTGATAGAATTCTACTACTTTTATTGGTATAGGATTTGCTTCTTCTTCAACCAATTTTCCATCCAATCCATTGTGCACATGCAATCTTAAGGCTTGAAGTTGGAATATTTCTAATTCATTTAGATATTAAAAATCTAGTATATCAAGATTATTTCTATGATCTATATCTTCTTCAATTTTTTCCTTGAAGAATTAATGGTTCATCAAGTAATTTATCTTTATTTTTGAGAAAGATCCCATATTGACTAAAAATTATCTTCTTTTCTTCATATAGAAAAATTTCATATCTTTTTTTTACTTCTAATTATCCAATAAGAATATCCTTCCTTGCCTTTAAATGAAGCTTTTGATATTTTTTTATTTTTTCTGTATATGGTACCAAACAAAAAAATAAAAGTGATGAATATTTTGAAGAGAAGATTTTTCACCATAAAAAACTTCATGTGGTGTCTTACTACAAAGTCTTGAAAGTAGAAGGCAATTACAAGTCTAAGTCACAAATTTTGCTCCAAATATCTAATATTAACGATCCAACTTGGCATTGTCTAAAAGTATTTGACATTGTCAAGTACAAACACTTTTAGACATGGAAAAACATATGATATGGATATGGATATCATATATTTTTCTATGTCAACAAGTTCATGTGTATATGCAAAAATAATCATGTGCTAAATTCTTTTAGTTTTGAAGTGAAAAACAAGCTTACTATTAAAGAATTCAGTACCTTAATTAGTGAAAAAAGTTTTTATCTTTCTTCCAGTTCTTCTTTGTGCCTCCGCTTCTCAAGTCTTATAAAGAATATGTATTTAGTTCTTAGTTTGAAGAAATTTAAGGCTACAATAGCCAAAATATTCATCAATCTACATAGCTAACCATTTGGCGCTAGTAAAATTAGCCATGTCAATATAACCAAGATCAAAAATTATTACTTTTAAAATATTGTTGGCATGTTTATGCTTATAGGAAAATGTCTACTATAGATCTTTCCAACAATATATGTCTCATATATAGGTATTTTATCCTCTTCCCCCTTGATCTTTAATCCTTTAACATAATTCATCTACTTTGCCTCTCTTATTGTATGCAGTGAAGCATGTGCTAATGCTTGATGTCATTCAATAAGTAAACAATTTGAAATAGTTGAACTAAAAATTGTAGCAACCTCTTCAATTTCACAAGGCATAAGATAAGCTTTACTTCCTAGCATGCTTTATATGTGTAAGTTTCTTAAAAGTAGAATCCAATTGACTCCATTGATATCCAAGTTAAATTTGCAACCTTTTCTTCCATAAAGTTGCAGTTGATAATAAAATATCATATACTCCTCAAACCTAATGGACATCCTTCACAAGAATATATTTTTTTGTAGGATCTAAAATTGTGAGATGCATCTCACTTGAGCCTCATCATTTGCTAATGCCACCATTATAGCCTTAGAGTTGAATAATCACATTTTTATCAAAATTGAGAAGCTTATATCTATCTCTTTGGATATGTATATCTATTGCACTATCAATGCATACATAATGTCATAATTGAGATAATAATGCAACCTTTATTTTTGAATTAAATGATGTTTCTTGAGTTGAGAGAACAATAACAATATTAACATTTACTACACCATTATTATTTGTTATAGGATATTCTACATCACTTCACCAATGCCCCTTCTGACTACAAGCCTTACAAGTACTCCTAGATTTATTAATCTAAGGCTTCTATTTTTGTTGCAGATGGTGCTTCTTTAAGACTTGATTTCTTCTTGCATGCATTGTTAAAGCAGCAAATAGAGAAGTAGTCTTATCCTTCTTTTGCATCTCTTCATCAAAGAGAATAGATTATACTACCTCTTTTGTGATCTCTTCTTTTTTTCTTCATACAATTGATTGAATAATTGGATCCAAAGATTTTGATAATATAATAAGTATAAGAAATGCTATGCTTTTCTTTTTCATTTTACCACCAACTTCAATATATTGATCTCTAAGATCAAAAATCTCTCTAAGAAAAATCTCCATAGCTTCTTCATTCATATTCTAAAGATTGTATAATTTCTTTATTAAAAATATCTTAGTAATAATTCCTCAAGGCTTGTGGATCTTAGCCAATACATCCCACATGTCCTTTTCAATATTACATTTGCATATATGAGTTAATTGCATAGGCTTAACATTGAATGTAATTAATGCTTGTGTCTTTACTTTGCTTGATTTCTATTTTAATTTTTCATCAATATTTATAAGACATTTTAATGTTCCATCTACATGCATGTAGAGCTAGCAAAAGCACATCAAGTGTTTCATAACAAATGTCCATGTGCCATAGTTTTTTTCATTTAATCAATCAATGCAATAACAACAAATAACTATAAGGAAAAAAATAATCTACAATTAACAAATAATCTACAAAATGTGATATTTAGAGAATAGAAGTACCAAGCTATATTGGAGCAAAAAAACTTGCCTTTACCACCAGCAACAAATGGGATTTAATTAAGTAAAAACTAGCATCAATAGAGTTTAAACTCCAACTCTAAAATGCATCCATGACATTATTCATCCAAATTGATATCCATCTACAGCACTATTCATCCAAGTTGATGTTTATCCGCAGCACTATTTATCCAAACCGATGTTCTTCTGGCTCTGATACCATGTTACGAAAATAAGATGAAAGCATGAATGCAAGATTGACAGAATTTATTGCTAACAAAAGGTGCCCAAAGCCAGGGGAAGGGTACATGAGGTATCTTGCTTAAGAGCTGAATAAATCACAGCTTTCGGTACATACAATATGGGATATTCAACAGCAATCAATATTGATGGCAAGGTTATGGTTTTATTCCCATCCTTAATCCTCATGAATTGTGAGGATACTCAGCTTAAGCAGTTGAAAGAACAATACCTGATGTCTATACAGTCACTAGTAAGAGTCATATCCCTATACCATTGTTGTGTGCAATCAACAAAGCCATTGTTTGTGACCATATTCACCCTCCGTAAGAGATGGCACCACAAGCTAAAATCAAAGCTGAAAATAATGTCATAAAACCCATGGATCCTTTCACACTGTTTCAGACCAGCTGACAGCGAACCATAGGAGCCAGAGGTGATCAATCTAATTATTACAACGGAGCAATGCCTAAAACACAAGTCTGTGAAGTACAAGCCTCTCCAACCAGAAGAAGCGATAAGGCAACTTGACCGTTCTGAATTCTAGGCGCTTTCAATTCACAAACGAGAAAATTCCAAAAGAAATGCGAGGACGAATCAGAATCCAGAGCCTTCAAAGTATCAGCAATCAGGTTGTCAAACCGTCGGGTAGACTCATTTGATTCGTTCCCAAAATATTCCCACCCACATCTGAAAACTTGTCGAAGCCGGGCAGAGGTCCGATTGTGTCATCCTGGTTAACTTAGATGGGGTACGACAACAAGTGCCCCTTCATGTCGGTGACATCCTCTGCAGTGTATTGCTTCCAATTAGCTTCCGCTACTCGGTTCACTTCAGTTACACATTCCAGACTTCCGGCGTCGGTGTAAAGGGGCTCAACACGACCCAAAATGCTAGGCCCACAATAACATTCGGTAGCCATAGACCTGCAGTATGAAACCAGTTCCATCAACTGTAATCATTAACAAATAGTATTCAAGACAAGCCTGCCCGTGACTTTTTCAGAAAACCGAAAACAACTTCTGCAGCAATGTGTTAAAGATACGACAGCCCCCGCAGACCGTTGGACTAGCCACGTTGTTTGCACAATAGAATTGTTACAACAAGATTCAGGAACCTTGAGAATGAAGGACTGACATGCATACGAAAGATTCAATATGTATGTACAAGATATATATATATATATATATATTCACAGAACATGACCCAAGTTAGCGGGAGCTTAAGAACGTTCACTGCTACTACTTAATTCACAAAATTGTAATCTCGAAAGTCCAACACCAGGAGCATTGGAGGTGCTAATCTTTTACAAACCTGTCCCATTGGATGTCCTTGCTTCTGATCCCAAGAGTACCGAGGTTGAAAGGTTCCGATTGCAATCTCTGTATCGCGAGATCCTTCCATGGAGCGCTGGTTGATGCTGACCGACCCACAAATGATGTACTCATCATCGACAATCATACCTTTGGCATGAACGTAGATCATGAAGCGCCTGAATTTTTGAGTTTGACCCTGTATGTCATAATTGAAACGATCAAATCCAGTAGCAAGCAATTACGAGGAGCATACGATTTGAACAAAATCATCTCAGTCGAAGGCTCAGAATAGTAGGATACAATTGAGTCTCTTAAATGAGGTACTTAAATATTTTCATCATGATGTGCTGGTCATTTTACTGTAGACGATGAATCTCAACATCGACGTTCAATGTATAATCTAACATGTTTAGAGTCTGAATTGGGTGGATTGGCAAGAGGATCCGCTTGTGCCTCCAGTTCGCTTTTGGTCTCTCGGTTGCCAAGTCAGTAGAAATTAAGATAGTCACATGGGAGCCGTTCACCAAGCTTGCTGACGTCTCTCAAAGCGTTAGTTACAACACGCACATCATCTTCATCGTTTGTGCCTGAACCACACAAGAAAATTTGCGACGAGAACTTGAACTTCAGCAGCTGTTGGCTGCACAATTCAAATATCTAGAATGAAGACAAATTCAACAGGTCCATCAACATCCAATTGCAGATTCTCAACCCTGAAAATGCAGTGAAGATCTGCCTTGATATCCATGGTGAAGTGATGAGAGATCTTGGAGGTCTCTTGGATCCTGTATGTGTGGGTTGAACCAAGGAAGGGTGCCCACGCAAAAATACCATGTGTTGGGTTGGCCCTAGTAAGCAAGGAAGAAGGCAACTTCGGGTTTCACCATGCTTCCATTATAACCAGAAAAATTACCTTAAGTGCTAATTCCATAGGGATCAGTTGGTTCGCACCTGGTTGAACGCAGCTTCAGTTCAATTCCTCACGTAACGTCATGTTAGGCTTAGTTGTCATGCTTTATTAGTGTTCAAACTTAAAGAAAGATAAACTTGTAAGTGATGCAAAGCCTGTAAAAAGAGTACAATCTAGCAATCGATTCCAAATATAGTCTGATATGTGCCCAAATACACACCAGCATTCTTGTAATCAGGCCAGTAGCAAGAGGAACCAAGAAAGTACTGGTTTTCGATGTAGATGAAGTGCTGAGCTAACCGGATGGCTTCGATTTAGGCAATTTGTATGCTGAGATCTACGGTAATGTTCTTTCCCGATGAATGACGCTGAACATATTGAAGTCAACAATGGCCTCGTCACTCATAGAAAACATCGAAATTATATTTGTGAAACTTCCATTCATATGCTCCATCGGTGAATCAGGTGAAGTAAAAAGTTATATCCTAAAAGTACATTGTCTAACACTGATGTCAACTCTACACTACTCTGACAATTACTTGTACAGTTGGATAATTCTAAAATTAGTTTGCTATGTTTTCCCTGCACCTTATTTTTATTGTGAGTTTGTTTTATACTCGTGTTTTATTGATGATGCTTTGAATGGTTTTCTTATTGATTGTGATGAAGATTTAGAAGTTTTGAGTGCTGAGGATCCCAATTGATTTGATCTTTTTTGTTTGATTACAAATCTCAAGATGTTGATATTTTTTCTACACATGCCTACTTTGATTCCAAATTGTTGGATTCTAAATTCCACCTTTGTTGTGTTTGTTGCTTTGTTGACAGTGTTTTATACTGGTTTTGTAGCAACTCATATGAACAATAGTATTCAAGATATTGAACTTGTTAAAGCATATTATTTCAATGAGTCCCACATCAATGTTTCTGAAGACACCTTTTTCAGTACCAACAATGATGAATCAGTTAGCTCAACCATATCCACACAGTAAGCAATCCCAAGGTTTTCACTTCCTCAACTTTTTATTCATTTGCTATTGATACTTCTTTCTTTTTTTCTTTTTTTTTTTGTTCACTTAATTTTATTTATTGTCTCCAACAGTGGAGAAACAAATTTATTTCATTGCAACAACTATGAAGTAGAATGGATCAGAGGATGTTAGCAAGGTAATCTAGTAAATAGTTGTTGCTTTGGGATTTAGATTGGTGCAACTGTTGCCAGAAGCTAGCTTCATGTATGGTGGGATTTGGACAAGATGCTATTAGAAAAAGGAATGGATATATTTATGAGGTTTCTGACAATGATGATGATCTTGAAAACTCCAAATTCAAGACTTTGTACTATGGAGCCCCAAAAAATGAGCCTTTGTAAATTGTATTTTTTTTATAGTATGACCATCAAATTGGAAGGCGAATTGTGGATATCTAGTCAAAAACCATTGATGGCCATGGAGTTAAAATCCATATCCATGAATAAATCTCTATCTATTATAAAGAATATGTTATCCTTCACAGATTGCATATTCATGATGTAGTTTATAAGCTTAAATTCTCTCAAATGCAAGTGTTTTGAATCAAAGTGGTCAACTATAGATCAAAATATATTATAGTTCTTACTATAATATTAAAATATTTTGATTTTATAAGAATTTAAATATTTAATTTTAATTTTTAGTTGTTTCAGAAATTAAATTAATAGTTTTTCTATTATTTTTAGTACCAAAGAAAATTTTAAAATATTTATATATATATTTATATTTATATTTATTTATATTTATTTATATTTATATTTATATACATAAACTAAAAAAAGGTTATTGTCACTATTTAAAATGATTTTAGAAAACCTGTGATTTAAATATAGAATTGTAATATGTAAAATAATATATAATATCTGGTACAATTTTTTAAAGGTAAAATCAAGAAATTTGTTTTAAACTATATTAAATTTTATTAAAAAATTGCAAAAACATATGATCATTATGAATAAATTTGATTGATCTGAGTAATATATCAAATATAAACATCATAAATGAATTACTCTATTAAATTTCTTAACAAATCTAAATTTTTATAAATTTTTTTTATATTTTTATTTATTAAATTTTAATGGTTATAGCAGCAAAAAAATCAGTTAGGTTTTTATAAAAATCCATGTTTTTTTAATTATCGAAAAGCAATATTTTAATCATATAGAAACTTAAAATGGTCAAACTTAAAGAAAAAATGTCAATAAAAATTAATTTCTAAATAAATATAAAATTAAATATGTCTTTAAAAAAAACTACATTTTGATTTTTTTTTATTTGTTTTTTATTTTAAACAAGGTTCTTTTTAATTGTATACAAAGAAATTGTAAGTCACACTAAAAAGCATTTATAGTGATACTAGTGAAAATCAAGTTTTAAATGTGGTCATTAACAATCTCATTAAATATTGAATTTGACTTAAATGATCTATAAAAATCTAAAAGAGCTTCCTATTTAGAAATAAAAAATTAAAAATATCCTCTGATTTTTTTTTAAAATATATATATATATATTATGCTTTATTTTATATATATTATGCTTTATTTTATATATATTATGCTTTATTTTATATATATTATGCTTTATTTTATATATATATATATTATATATAAATTATATATATATTATAGTATAAAAATTTAATAGTCATGAAAGATAAATATTTTTTATTATTTAAAAAATAATTTTTTAAAAAATATCTATAAATTTATTTTTAATTAACTAATTAGAATATAGTTTTTATTGGATCTTAATAAAAAAAAATCAAATTTCATCTTATTTATTTAAAATATTAGGATAATTTGTATTTTTTAGTATATTTTACTTTAGTTTTTTTTACTTGCTCTTTAAAAACAATGATACTTTGTATTTTTGGCACAAGGTAGAAAATTTAAAAAATTTAGATTTAAGATGATTACTCGTATAATTTATTAAACATTTTTAAATTCATGGTACTTTTTTACATGAATTACATGAATCTAAATAAGCAACAACATCACCAAAATTATCTATGTTTTTGATAGATAGAATATAGATATTTTAAATGCAAAAAATATGACAAAAACCAACACCACAGTGGGAAAAAATTGGTGAAGTGACAACAAGGCTAGTACCCCCAATTGTGATTGAATGCCTCTTCCCTTGAGAGCACTATTGTTGAATGCCTTGATGTATTTTGCAAGTATTTTCAAATAAATTGTTGTGACATCGTTTTATGGAGATCCAGCAAGAATCAAAGAAGGCACTAATCACTCCCCACAACGAGTACATAACCGGCATTTCTTCTGGCTGAAAACATTATCCACCCAGATAATCGAATGAGAATGAATGAATGACTGAATATATTTATTAACATCAAGGCAGTCAACAATACAGTTTGTGCATACATTGCTCTGGGAACTTCGCCCTGCATTTAAAATTTAATCATAGTTTAGTTATAACTATGATAAAATTATTAAATTTTATTTATTTTTATTATTTTTGTGCTTATATTTTTACTTGTTATAATATTTAAAAGTAGCTTCTATCTTTGTTTTCAAACTTTGTTGAAAGATTATTACAAGGCATCAAAAATTTCTATTAAGCATTACATATATATTATTATAAATAATTATCATTTCATTAATGCTTAATTCATTAAAGTTATTTTGAATTTATAGAAAAATTACATACCTATTGTAACATGTTATATTATTATATAGCATAATAAGATTAATATTTTTTTAATCAATTATATATTAATTGACAGATAAGCTCTTAGAACATTTACATTAAAAAAGTCTATCTTATAAGACCATTGCCTTATGATTTATAAATATTATGAGAGTTGATTTTTTTTTAAGAATGATGATTTTTAAGTTTAAACATTCCATAGCATTATTAGATTTTGAAGGTGGAATTTACTAATTGGAATTTTTATTCATAAAAAACATAAAAATATTTTCTATCAATTTAAGTTCAATTTACAATCAAAAGACTTATATTTGATATTTTTAATTACAATTAGATTCAATTAGCTACATTTAAATAAGTAAAATATTATTTTTTAAAAAATAAATAAATATAAATATAATAATATTTATTTTTATAATATTATTAAAATTATGTAGATATTTATAAAGACTAACTTTTAGTTATATTTTTTTATAACCTACCACTATTCTTTTATAAATTAATAATAAAAAATTTAAATAATATGTTTCTAAATGGAGATTTTTCAAATATATATATAATAAAATATTTATTACTTTTTTAATATTTTAAAATAATTATATATAAATTTACCTTAATTTCAATAAAAATAAATAACTTAATCTTCTAAAATTTACAAAAATATATTAATAGAAAATTATAGAAAATAAACTACAGATTTTTTAAAATTTAAGAAACAGTTGGATAGTAACTTTGAGATCGTGGTATTAGAAATCTTTTGAAGTTATATTACATCTCAAAGATGACACTAAGAAAACATATTTTAGCCAATTTAATCCTAAAAAAATATTTTCATAGATTAAGTATTATAATAAAAATCTTACAATAAGAAAAAAATATATCTATTTTAAACTTAAGACTACCAAAAAAAATTAAAAAAAAAAAAAAAAAAAAAAAAAAAAAAATCCAGGTCATCCTCTAATAGTTATAGCTATACAAGGGGGTTAAAAAATTTTAAAAAAAAAAAAAAAAAAAAAAAAAAAAACCTCCAAATTTCAAGAATTAAAAAAATATATAAAAATCATTTTAAAGTATAAAATCATATTTTTGGTAGTAATATCTATTATTATAAATATAAAACATTACATTAACTTTAATTTTTTACATTATACGAATAGAAATTTAAATTTACTTTATGCTTTGAAATCTTAATATTTCATTACGATTTTTTTAAATTTATGATACTAAATATTTATCAAAGTATTAAAGTTATATACTTTTTAGTAAAATTAATCCAATAAAATTAATCCAAAAGTAAAATTTTAAAATTATATAAATTATTTTTAAAAACCTATTTATAATATGTGACAAAATAAACATTTTTTAAAGCTAAAAGGCTCTTATAAAGAAATAATGAAGACTTTATGTATTGTAGAAAAAAATAAAACATAAATTGAGTTAATTTTTGGGCACAAATATTTGGTTACTTTGTTATATTAGACTACAAGAGACTATGAAAAAATTCTATAATTATTTTTCATAAATTTCATAAAACATACATTAATAATAATTTTTTTAAAAGAATAATGTTACTCATGCAATAAGACTCTTAAAATTATAAAATTTTAATATAAATATTCTAATAAAGAAAAATCCACACGAAAAAATAAATAAATACTATATCAATTTTTTAAAATATATTTAATCAAATACTTTTTAAATGTTATGAAATAAAATTCTTTAGGTTAGGATAATATAAATATTTTATTGTCATATTAGAAAATAATTAAAATTCGAAATTTAAAAACTAAAATTAGAAATAGTTATAAAATATTATTAATACTAATATTATTTTATTATTACAACCACAATCTACTATCTACAATCTTTCTTTCTCTCTCTCTCTCTCTCTCTCTATATATATATATATATATATATATATATATATATATTTTTATTTTAATCCAAAAAAATGTTCAAACAAATGATTTAAAAGGTATCTAACAAATATGGCATATAATAGATAAAAAGTTGTGGTAGTAGTAGCAAACAAAAAGAAAAAAATGAATCATAATATAATATATATATATATATATATATATATATATATGTGTGTGTGTGTGTGTGTGTATGTGTGTATTTTTAAACTATAAATTCAAATTTAAAACATTTATATATATATATATATATATATATATTCACATACATCTATACATCTACATATTGGATACTTAATACAACTAAAATGATCTAAATTGCTACTTAAAAAAAAAACACACTTAAACTTTACATAAATAATTTACTTGAATTTTTTTGATATTTAATAGTTTCCCACTATTTCACTTATTTGCATCCAAGAACCTAAATGACAATAAAACTATTCATTGCATAGTTCTACATTATAATATTGTATTCAAACTATTCCTTTTTTTTTTTATAATATTTGTTAAAATTGGAATATCTCCTCCTTTGGGCTTGAAACCTTTCCTTGACACCATGCAACTTGTCGATTAAGTAACCACCCTTTATTGGATGTTATTACAGCATATTGTGAGGCATTCAGCTTTTGCTCTTGCTTATCAACTTATATATTCACATTATTGTATTGGACAGAAACATGGAGGCCCAAGTCGGAAGCAAGCATGGAGGATGAGAGCTACTGCGCTTATGAGCCAAACTCTTCCTTCATTTCGGCACTGCATTCCGACTTGTGCAGAATGCAAAATTGCAGAATACGGGACAAAAGTGGACGAATTCTTTACTGGGAGGATTCCATTTCCTGTAGCAGGCAATGCTTTCACAGCCCTGACGATGCTCAGACCTGCAATCTGCTTAGTCTGTGCTTGTACAAACAGTATATATTCTGCAATGGGGGTGTGGAGGTTCTCTGGGCCACTCTCTTAATGTTTTATCTTCGATCCAACGGTGCTGCACACTGGCAAGTTGACTACTGTCACGGCGGGGGGAGTCACCAGCTTTGGAACCAACTCGTCCCAGTGTCTGTCAAGGGATCAATGTGTGCAACTCGCTGACAAACAATACCACTGGTGAGCTTACTATAATGGGCCCGGCAGTCTACCAGTTCACCAGTAGTATGTCTCTTCTCTTTACCATACTCTTCCTGACTGGAACAACTTGGGCATTCACTGACATTTATTACAAAGAAAATTCTTCCAGTTAGATAATGGTGCTATTGACACGGCAAATATAATGTAATGTAACTCTGCGAAACTATCCTCCCCATGAGTTGCTGCTTCCCAAATATTAATTCGTGGTGGTAGTTTTGAAATAAATAGATTCTAACTTCAAGTTCTGAAAGATGCTGCAAAGACAAGGTAAATAGGAAACACAGACTTAGGAAAGCTGCAGCACACCCCCAATATTGTGCCTACATTCAAAAGTAGTTGTATTTGCTACAAAAGTGAGGGAGCCGCTTTGGACAAGGTTAAAAAATCTTGAATTGGTGCATAGCTAATAATCTCGCACACAAAGTTATTATCCAATGTGACATTTTTCACTAGAAAGATAGAAAGGAGCAAATAACTTATTCCATGGAAATCCATTGATCAACAAAGTTTTTCATTGGTATAAAATATGCATACATTTACATTTACAGGCTTTCACTCGCTCTTTAATTGAGATAGGGACACGTAAAATATATATATATATATATATATATATATATGTTACCAGTATTTGTGAGAATTGGTAGAATTCATCATTCAGCTCCACACTTGAGGTCTCATGCCAAAGCTCTTGATTAATGTCAACAACAATTAACACTTACAGGATTCAACGTGAGAGAAACTATACATTAAGTGAAAGGAATTATTAAGAAAATCAAAGAAATATTGATAAATTAGAACAATAATATGAAAGGTGCTTCATGCACAAGCTAAGTTGGGAATGGTGTAGACCCAATTTCTTGTCCTACTTGCACTCAAGTGCCCAGCTTGGTTACATAAATCTCAATGCGCCACAGTTTGACAAAATTCAGTCACCTGACCGTGTTTGAACACTTAAATGTTATCAGACTTCAGGCACAAGCAACTTGATCAATCATCAATCAACTGTAACTGTCTCTATACAAGTTTCCAGTGGAAGCAATGATGTTGGTGTTGCCCACGTCAGCTGCACAAGTTAATTTGGAGCTATTCGACGCACAAGTGTCAAGCGTGTGATTGCTTCAGAGAGCTTTTCGTTTTACTTGCATGCTTGTAATTGGTACAATTTGTGTAATTCTCAGCTCTATCAGTCAAAGAGGTCACACAGTAACGTTGTTTGTTCTTCTCATCTGTAAAGTCATAGAGATAAGACAATTCTGGCAAAGAAGATGAAGAAGTAACTTGCAGAGGCAGAGTCATACCGCTAGATGAATGATTCAGAGGTTGGATATATATATATATATGTGGAAGTATTGAGAAATGCTTGAACCCACGAACCAAGGAGGTGCGTGGTTCTACAGCAGCGGCAAAGACGGACGCCAATCATGCCACTCAGTCAATCAGGCTACTATAGCAAGGTCCACACCCTGCTTTGTTTGAGAAGCAACTCCTTGCCGTATGGCTGCAGGTGAAGCGTACTCAGACCACTGTGATCAGTGACTGCGAGGTGATTTTCCTTTCGTACCAGGTCATGCGACGAAGTGGAGGTTCGGAACAATAAAGCGGTACTGGTGGCCTGTTTGAGTGAATGTTAGCTTGAGGTGCAGTAGATCATATTGATCGCTCCCTTGGTTGATTCTGTTGACCACGCCTTTATGGGTGCAGTTTCTGGCGGTTGTTTGTTTGATCTTGTCTCTCAGCTCCCGATGAATGACCACAAGTACAGCCTAATTTTGGTCCATGTCTTTTCCTGCTTGTCGCTGATGACCACAACGTCACTGGACTGCACTTGAACTCGTCATACAACATATTGTACATGTGTAGTTTATGATTGGTCTTGTTTGTAAAGGTGGATAGAAGTCAAGGCATTTGAAACAAAGTGTTCAAAGTATTATCACTAAAGGAAGAGGAATAGATTGTTAGCAAAAACCTGCAGCTGACTTAAAAAATAAGCTGTTAAATACGATCCCCACGTTGCCTAGGGGCCTTTTAAGCAGTTATGCTGCAACATAAAAAAAACCTCATGAAAACACCTCTACGGATATCTTCTGCATAAAGAAACTGGTGAAAATCTACCAGCTCAACCTCTACAAATCAGATATCGAAGCTTGTATAACCTTGAAGTTGTTCTTCAATCGGTTACACTTTTTTTGTATCTATCAGATATTTAATCTCAAACCATAATCACTACAAACCTTATCATCAGAGTCATGTACACAATATGCAAGAGACCTATACATTCTACCTTCGTTCTTCGGAAGCTTGTATATACTGGAAGCTGCGGTGTTGACTTCTACAAGCCATTCCAAATTAAGTTTTAGCTTTGTGGTGCTGAGAAAATGCTGCTCGAGTAAATGATACAAATGATAATGCCATATGTTTTAACTTTTGGGCTTCTTCTATAGACCATTATAGTTGAGTCATCAACTTGAATCAATTTGAATGTCCTCCACTAGAGTAATGCAGCATCAAAAATTTGGCACCTAAGGTTCGTAGAGATTGTTCTTGCATTTACATCTCCAGACCTCCGGATAGTATTCATGCTCTGTCACCGACCTTGCATGCGGACTCCCGACTGACACGTGAATTGGTCTGCACGGCGTGCACGGCCCACACTTTCCTGCGCATGACGGTGGAGATGAGCCCACCAATAATCTTTGCTCATAGATCAAGTCATTTTTTTTGTTGCCGCGAACTGTCTTAGTATTTGAAGAAGGATTCATATCCTGCAACTTCATAGCGTACACGCCGGTGCTGGCTTAGATAGTCCCATGTTGAGAAGGATTAAATATTTGCTTATTAAAAACCCCAAAATTACCAACTGAATCAACACAATCCGTCCCTTAAGTTAGTTCTAATTTATTGTGAATTATCTTGCTGCTCCTTCCTGGGTCTTAAAGGATGATTCAATTTCGAAGTAGCAATTAAAATGGTTTGATCAAATGTAGTCACCCCTCGGAACTAACACCTAAGATGTTCAGCTTGTAAGGTGTAAACTAAGGAGCTTATCACGTGGTTAAAGTCAAACGCTTCTGTTTATAAAGCATTGGGGTTGTTTATGCACCTGAGATTGGCTGCCACTTTGTGCCCAAGAGACTACTCCAAACCACAATTTCCTGGTCGGTGTAAGCTTGACTTTGGTAGTTGGAGCAAAAATCGCAGTCGATGGCACCGCAGCTAATATGTATATGACAATAAACAAAGACGATTTCATATTAGTCACTATCAAAATAATTGATGATCTAGCCGTCCCTAACAACGGATGTACAAAGCGTTCTTGGATTGAAAGCAAAAATAATACTACTCTGCGTTATATGATCTCAAGAGATATTTTCCGCAGTGGTTTCCAAAGACAATCGTCTTTGATAGACTTCAGATTATCTTGATCCTGTGGAGCTTTCCTAGAACAGTAACATCTGAGCTGGAGTTGTGCGGAAGGACTCACCAGGAATGTTTCGACCAGCAACAGCCAGGAATGTAAACATTGTGAGAAGAAGCAAAGTCCGATACTTGAGAATTGGCATCCTCTTTAATTTCTTCACATACGACTCCCTATGAGTGATTCAGTATTCCCGAGTGCGGTTTTAACTATCACAACAGCAAAACCTCTTGAGTAGTAGTCCCTTTTTGAAAAATATATTCACCTAGTATTCAATATCAAGGTTCCTTAAGGAAGAACAAAACTTTAAGACCCTACTCTGAGGATTGATTAAATTGCTCCTCGGGCATCTATTTCAGAAAGTATGATGCATTGATGAGAATTGATCACACTAAGCTACCACACTGCAGACTGACCGTCTATTACAACCTCCAACACGCAATCTATATCTAGGCTTCTGACTCAGAATTCGAACAACTCCGAGATGGTATTACTGATGAAAGATGCTGAGAATTATCCAGGGAGCCCAAAGTGCAGTACCCATGTATCGTCAGACTAGAAAACATCATCGCTGCCTGGTCGCAAGGATTGCCACAACACCCGCATAACCAACAAGTCGAGATCATACCACACCGTGACACATACAGATTACGGTCTCAATGACGGAGCGCTTTTTATTCAGCACTCAGTATGAAGAACTTTTTATGGAAAAAAAAAATGAAAGATTCTTTGCGGCGTACTGACCGACGTCCTGTCGCCCACTATTCTCTGGTCGACTCTACTCAAGCAAGCAATAGATGCAAGCAGGGAGCCTGGGCTCTAATATATGTTCCCTCTTTCTTATCCTAGATTCTCCAGCTTCCCACTTCGACTGTCAGCTGGTTGCAGTAGCTTCCAGTTTTTGACTTCAGGTACGTGCTATGGTGTTGTCAGATACCAATCTGGTGTTGTGATAACTCTCCAACGCTACCAGCAGCAGCAACTGCGAGGCTACCGTGATCATGGCCCTGCCTGAGTTGTCAAAACATGAAACTCGCATCGGCTGCGAGGCGTCGTGGTGTTGCTTTTCCGCAGCGAGGGTGGCGGGTAGGCGGATATGGACTCAACTCCGGTGCTTGGTGTCTGCTGCCCTGTGTCGCTTACTCCTGTTACTGTGCTGGACACATCAGACCTGACACCGAGCCTCCCTACCCACTCTCGCCGTGCTTTGTCAGTCTTGATTTCAAGTAAAAAAATTCAATATTGACATTGTATAATTATTTGAACATACCTTCTTAAAATTTACATATTACAATAATAAATATAAACTTCACAGAAGGTTTAAATATTTTTTAATTTGATGTATTCAAGGTCTTTTTTAGAGAATGTAACATATTTTGTAATCTATAATAGATATTTATATATTTTTACTTAGTGATTTACTTATCTATAGATAAATGAATATAATAGATGCTTTGTCTAAAAAGCAATGTATTTTCATCATTTTTTATAATAGACTTATTAATTTAGACTTAAAAGTTCTAGCAAAAGCACAAAATTATTTTAATGTGTGATAATACACTGAGCCTCCATCAGTGATGCGCATGGAGTGGAACACCAAATGGTTCGTTGAATTCAACTGATTCTGAAACTGTTGCAGCAGTTGACTGCGAAACTATGACCATGAACAGGAATGAATCACCACCTCTCGAGCACTACACATTTCTGATTACACACATTCCAAACATTACATCACGTGAGATTCCTTTACAATGACAAAACAGCGGATGAAGATCATTTAATAGAGAACCAGACACAGCTGCTCCAAGTGTTCCTTCTCTTGGTTGTGGCATTCGTGCTCTTCGGACTGAGGGACGTAGACGATTTGCCTCTGATTTTCTGCATGATTTGTTGTATGAAGTGGCTGCTGCCCTCTGGGTGTCTGGTTCCACAGCCCATCTTATGCACATCGTCAGTTAACAAGCTCCGGAGTGGACCACGAGGTCGTCCTCTCTTATTGCCTCGCTGCTGTCGCCCCTGGTGTCTGTTCACTGCGAATGGGGTGAAGGGGGGATCTCTCCCAGTGGGGTCGATGAGTCCTCTTCTCAACGACCCAGAGGCTGTAAAAACCTGAGGAGGAGCATCATGGAGGGACATAGTCGTGGCTGCTGTTTCGAATCCACGACCAGGGGTCCCTCGGCCCCCGCTGGAGTAAATATCTGCTTGCTCCTCCCAAAGCCTATCCTGATGAGAGCTGGAGAACGAGGAGTTGGCGTAGATGTTTCCGGAGCAAAAACCCAGGCGGAGGGTATCTACAGATGCCGTTTCAGAAAGTGGGGCGGAATGCAAGCTTGATACCAAACTCCGTGATCTGGCCCGAGTGATGGCCTCATTAGCGTCCATGGAGGATGGAGCTTGCCCAAGTGGGCCACTGTTGGAATTCGAATTCGAGAGTCCCTCTACACATGAAGTTTTCCAGAGCAATTCAGTGATATGTTCCTTTATATCAAATTCCTTGAAAGTTTCCAATCAAATTGGATCCAAGCACTATGTTACAAACAGTACAGTGAATCTCAGAGTGGATGTTTAATGAAGCATCACCTGTTGAAGAGTCGAAGTCGGAGAAGGTTCTATCCGGATCCGTCGTTCTCTTTGGTTTGCCAAAGCTTCCATCCTCATTTGCTACAGAATTTGCTTCGGATGTGTTTGTACACTTATATTTATCGTCGGATGTTGGGTCTTGAAAGTTAGAGTTTGCCTCGCCGAGTATTCTTTCGCGAGAGCAACTTTCTGCCTCATCAAAAGTAGCGGTTATGCCTTCATGTATGCAGGTGTATTTCGTACCAGTTTTTATGACGTCAAGATGATGCCCCCGAACCTCCTCATGGTAATTTCGTTTTTGAGTTTCACAGGTAGAAGCTACTCCGTAGTCCTCATGACACCGCTTCAAACGCATATACGTGAGACGAAGTCGGCAAGGTAAACACATATTTCTTAATGAGCAGGCATCAGAGATTAAAGACGCAACTGCACAACACAAGTGACAAGTATGGACTTTAATGAGTAAAGCTTTATCCACTTGGTAATCGCCACTTTGATTCACCTCTCTTTTGAATACGCATTTTCCCCATTCTGGGCTTGAGCTGCGTGCTACTTTACGTGAAGCCTTTTCTTTAGAAGATCCCTGATTTTCTGATCAGTCAAAATCATCCACATTCTCAATTAACATACCCACCTGTGCTCTCAACGCTGACATGAGCATCCCTGGAATGTTGAACAAGCTCTTTACGGTCGTCGCTTTCAGAACGAAGCTGGGGAAATAAAATAAAATGAAATAACAAACAAACAAACAAAAAATTAGAGTATGGAGATTTGACATAACCCTTGAAGTATCGATTTCCCGTCATAAATAGTAAACGATCACAAGATGTTTAGATTTCAAGACCTCTTGCAAGTACTATGAGAGAAGAAACCCTTCAGCAGCCACCATTTACAAGGACCTAGCAAACACAGAGTTCCAAAATATCGTATACCGCAGCTTTTGATTCGGGGCAGACTGTTAGAGTCGACTTCGGAGATCGGAACGATTCAGAAGCTCGCCCCATAGAAATTTGAGATGTTTTCCGAAGGACATATTCTCTAGCTCGTAAAGCTTCTTCTCCCGAAATGATTTCAACTGGCCCAACTTTGGACAATCCTTTCATCGCCCAGGGTCCAGAGTGTGATTCAGACACAGCTTTTAGCAGCATGGCTCCGTGTACCGAGGCTGAAATGCTTCGCCGTCTCATACGAAAATTCTTCATCCGCTCTGGCCCTGATCCAGGTTCAAAGCTCACAGTTCTTCCCAAACAAGCGTCAAAATGACAAGACCTCTTTGAATAAGCCAATTCATTTCTCATAGCTGGTGGCGATTCTTGGTTGCCCCCAATTTCTCTACATGCCTCCAGTACATCACTCTGTTGAGAATCTTCGAATATGCTTGTGGGGTCAGATAAGACGTCTTCTCCCTTGATGCTAGACCTCACTGCAGCCTCCGTAAGTTCTGCCTCAGTTACTCTTTCATTAGCCAGCAGAAGAGCCTGGATGTCGATCATACTGGCTTCAGGCGAATCAGTTTTCAGAGGCAATTTCAGGACTCTTTCAGGATCTAGGTGAAAGGAGTTCTGTGTACTGCTCTGTTGCGAGCTTAACGAAGATACCGCCGTTGATGTAGCCAGTGAAAAAAGGTCTCCATCTGCGTCCATGTGCGACGGTTGTGACTGGGAGATGAAGATTGTTGCGCTCACACCCATATCTGAACAAGTTTCGTGGACAACTGAATTTGCCCCGTGGACAGAACGAGTCTCGTTTGAGAGTAGAATCGGATTATCTGGTGTCACATTAGATGGGAAGGAATTTAGCACCCATTTACGAGGATTGGATTTGTTGATGCACGATGACAGTTGATCCGTGAGAGTCAAGTTACAGCTCGGAATACTTTCAGACCCATGTCGGAACTCTCCAGAATGGACGGAAGGTAATCCTGAAGCAGCGTCCTCTGTAAATGGAAGGGATTTCTTGCCTCCACTGATTGACATTTCTGCTTCACCCTCCCCCTTCAATACTGTTTTAGTGTTGCCATTAGCATACTTGAGCAATGATGACGCTTGTGAAATTGCTGGGACATCAGAATCTACTTAAGCGTTGGAAAGAAACAGGTAAGAGAATTAGGGTAATCTGGGAATTATCAGCTTCTTGATAAACTTTGCAAGTAAAATTTTAGTGCAATCGTTGATCGATAAGTCATCTGTAATACATCAAGCTAATGCCTTAAATTCATAAGTTTAATAGATCAGAAGAAATAATGTCTTATTACCTTCCGTGTTCTTGACTACATCATCACAGCCCTTCTCTTTGTCTCCACCTGCGTCTCTTTTGTGATCTGGTGCTACATGAAATTGTTGTCGCGAAGATATTACTTGCTCTGGCAAGGTTCTGTGACTCAGCCTCGAAATTGACACAGAGCTCTCAATTTTTCCTGGGGATTGAATCAAAGACGCTGCAATCTTTGCAACTGAGTATTTGTCCGTCCTGAGTGACAAGATCTTTCCATTCTCCATTGGTGGATTCTCGGACGACGTGGTTCTGAACGATGAGCTTCTCCCTTTCTCCCTCAGTGTCGATTCCACAGACTTGCAGGATGTGATGATATTCCCAGAACTAACCCTCCTATGACCTAAAATTACATGCTCACATTCCTCCATAACTTCAGCCATTGTGTTCATACTAAGAGCATGTGTGTTAGTTTAAAATAATGGCAAACCTGTCCATCTTACAAAGCACCGCAATATTTCAAATGCCACAAAGATCCCCAACTGATCAAATCAAATGTCGGTAATATGATGGAAAGAGCCATGACTACAACCAAGACTAACCTCGGAATGGATTGAAGCTCATGGGTTTCCTGTCAGACGAAGGCCCTCCAGTTCCAACCTCATCATTACCTTTCAGATGTTCCTCAGTGCCGTCAAGAAAGGTTGGTTTCCGCATTGCACTCTGATTAGCACCAGGGAAAGGCGCCATGGATCTTTTTGGTGGTCTTCGGGTCACTGACCACGTTGGTAGATTATTTTTTACATCTCAAACGACAATTTCTTATCTGCTAAACTTAACAATCTGCAGTAAGAAAGACGGGTGATGCCTTCTTTTAAGCAGGGATGTTTGAGCTTAAGTTGTGCACCCTGAAGTAGGAATTCCAAGTGATTTCCAAAATCCGCAGCTGCCCCTCAAAATACGGTAACACTCCTTTGTTGCACCGCTAATTCGAACAGAGAAACATGATCATGAGATGCGCTCCAAATCCAGAGGATTCCTCCTCTGAGAAGTGACAGCAGAGGTCCACAGCAAGAGTTGACTTAATCAAGTATTTCTCCCTTCATGACTCAGCAGGAACACACAGACCTAGACATGGCATTGAAATGTCAACAGCAAATTGAGACCTGAAGCCGTTTAAGACAAGCTGATCTTTTAAGGAAAGAATTGTTTCTTGCCAAATTACGCATCACAAGCAAACCATCAGAGAGGGGTCGCGACAACAGGTTCAGGTTCATGGCTCTTACGAGGGTGAAAATCACTGAGTCTACTCGAGATGTATATTTGGAATGAGAGAAGCTTCTTCACTCGATCCTTCCTTAAAAAAATTATCTTCCTCACATGCCATCACTCTACTGTTGACTTGAAGAATGCGTGAACAGTGAGACCGCCGCAAACAAGAGTGCATCAGGGCAAAGACATGCAGGGTTTAAGCTGATCTCCTGCTCAATTAACTATTGGCAAAACACCAGCTCCCAATCCTGCGCAAAGCCAAAGGACTAACCAACCTCAAGAAAAAGGATATGGGGGGGAAACAGAAAACAGAAACGGGTAGCAACCACAGGTTCAGCCGGTGCGATCGGGACGGACACGCGGTACCTTCACATCCACCGACTCAGGAATGTGGAACCTGCAGTGAGCGGATTCCCGAACTGGAGCATTGCAACAACAACAACCGACACCACGGGCAAGAGAAGCTCCCAGCTGTTACAGACACAATGCGAGATGTTTCGGAATGCAGGCAAGGCTACGCCTCGCTATGCACGCCTTGCCTACGTCCTACCTAGAGACAGAGAGGCTCCAAGGCCCGAGGCCATCAAAACACACAGACCCAGTGAGTGTGTGAGAGAGAGACCTAGTGCGCAGGTCTGCTGAGACTTCAAAGAGGTGGCACCGGCGAATCTCATGTACAGCGCAAACTCTACGAAATCATATTCTACTCAAAGCTCACACAAGGTTCACGATTCTTTTGCAACCTTAATCTTCTTTCACCTTGAACCCTGCAGACCAACACCGCCTGTTGCTGAGTTCGGTCCTTGGACCAAGCTCATGAGGCTCATATTCATACTCCAAAATCAGGCAAAACTGCAAGTTGGGCACGAAATCCTTAAGAACCGTGGCAGTCTCGAGAAGAATTTGTCAATTCCTGCGACGAGCTCATTGCCATGTCTTCTTCTACAGTCCCGCTACGACCCCACAGTTTTGTGCCCACTCACGGCGTGGCGGTGCCGGAGGATGAACAGAGTCGTTCATCATTACCATGAAGTTGAAGGCTCTGTTCGTGGGTTGGCATAAGTTGGGGGGTGGATGCTAATAGATATATATATATATATATATTTATTTTTTTATTTTTATTTTTTTTGTGGCCTATCAAATCCCAGCCAGATTATGTGGAATGAGAAGCTGATAGTGGGTGGAGATAATAGGTTGGTTATTTAAGACAGTCCCTGTTGAATGGCCCCACTGACAACAGCCTCTCTATCTACTTCATTGCTTTGTCTCCCCTCCCCCTTCTTTTTTTGTCTCCTTTCAGTTTTTATTCCTTCCTCTTCATTAATTCTTCCCTTCAGTTTTTGCCTTGGACCGTATGCATATTTTTATCTAGTGTTTTGTCCTTGCTGCATTGTGTTTCTAATTTGCTAATTGTCTTGTAGATAATTAACTCTCTGGTACCCTGACAAACACCAAGTGGGAATTAGGGTTTACTTTTCATTGAAATTATCTTATTTTTTGGGGAGCATTCGTCACAATCTTAAAACCAGAAAGGAACAATTTTTCTATCGTAATGCTACACAAACTGGATACCCTTTAATACTTGTTTCGGTACTTTTCCATATAAAAAAACCGGACAAGAATTTATTAAAATATCATTTATATCATCTCTTCAAGTAATCGCTTTAACGCCATTTAGCATAGAGCAATGAAGTGAAAGAAATAAATTCAGGGATGACAGTTTCGTGTGGAACTGGTGTCGGCGTTCGCCATCCGCTACGTTTTGACACACAATGGAGAGAGGGACCGTTCTACACAGATCGTCATCCCGCAAGAAGTCGATTCTGTGCGGAATCTGTCCTGGATGGCGTACCTGTTCCCAATAAAGTTCGCAACTCGTTCTCATCTCGTGAACGTGCTCCCTCGGTGATTGGTGTGTGCGAGAGGGGATCTGGGGTCGGCTTCGGACCGCGAGGTCGAGGTGGATCGTGGAGCTGCGCTCCGTGGCATCTGGTATTTGCAAGCTTCGAATGAATGTGGGTTCAATTTTCGCTCGTGTTAGACGATTGTTGGAGTAATCGCCCTCCTAGACACGAGGCAGAAAATTTTGTTTTTTTCATGGTTCTCGACTGGTGGGTCTTGGGATTTCTAGCTTCGGAGAATTTGAGAATTCGAAGAGTCTGTTTCGTGCGATTCGGTCTTTGTTTCGTGCAATGTCAGCGTGTTGGATTCTCTGCGACGCCCTGAATCCAGTTTGTGTGTGAACCTCCTCACATTGAGAGTTTTGAATTAGGGGTGTGCTAGTGAGGCTTTTAGGGTTTGCCCTGTTTGAATCGGGGAATGTGCGCTTGGAAGGAGATCTGTACTTCAATACGGTCTGGTAGAGCACGAGTTTGAACAACCTTGGCATTTTCTCTCACCGATGAATTGTATATCAGGCGTATGTCTACTGGTAAGGAAATCCGTTGCCTTCGTTGTAGCAACTTAGGGTTTTCGATCCACTGTTAAATAATGTAGAACGTGCCACGTAATTCCGCACGCGTTATCGAGAATTCACGTACAGTGACTAATCTGTACTTTTAATTCTGTTTTTTATTGTCTTGTTATAGTTTTTTAGTTTTTTTAGTTTTTTTTTTTTTTTTTTTTTTTTTTTTTTTTTTTGAGGCAGTTGTGCATCAATTTAAGCGCAGTCAAGATGTTGAGGATTTGTATTCTACTTGGCAAATCTTTATTGGCGAGTAGGACGAGTTTCGTTGCACGTAGATGGACGATTCTGAAACTTGGAGGCAAGCGTTTTAGTATTCTTCTGGCCTTGTAGAAGATGATACATGTTGATCGGATCGGCACCTGTAGATTTTGTAGGCAATCAACTTTTGCTGAGGATTGTGTACCTTTTGAAATGCAATTGATTTTTTTTTTACTGCTTTCTCAAGAGATGCAAGTGTTAGTAGTGAATTGCTGCAAGTTTTCAATAGATTGAACAACGATACTATCTGAACTTTCTGTCTTCAGAGTTAAAACGACGATCATGGGATCGCAAGTATTCCATTTTCTTCTGGTGTTCTTTGGGTACTTTCTGCATGGAGCTTCATCAGAATCTGTGATTTTGGACGCGAGACCTACAATATTACAACATTCAGGAGAAAATATCACTCTTGCTTGGAAGGGTGTGAATTTACCGACGAAATACGATTGGCTGGGTATATATACGCCTCCTACTTCTCCTGACGACCAGCATATCGGGTACATACTTCTCTCTTCCTGTTCAACATGGACAACAGGCGCCTGCTCCTTGCAGATCCCCTTGGTCAACATGCGTGCTCCTTACAGTTTCCGAATTTTCAGAGGCGTGTTCGTAAATGTATCTGCAAGTACAAATGTGACTGGATCAAACAATGGGGCTACAACGATATCATTGGATCGGGAGGGTAATCCTCTACCAGATGTCACGAAACGGTTAGCTGCAAGCCCAGTTGTTCAATTCTCCAATTACAACGAGCCAACACAAATTCATCTAGCTCTTTCCTCGGACGAGACTGCTGTTAGGGTTATGTTTGTCACTAGGGATCCTCTGAGAAGCCAAGTAAGATTCGGGGAAGATGGAGATGAACTGGGCAACACAGTTGATGCTACATCAGTCACATACTCTCAAATTGATATGTGCGATGAACCTGCAAGTTCTTATGGGTGGAGATCTCCGGGATACATACATAATGTTGTGATGGGGGGGCTGAATCCTGGGAGTCGCTATTTCTATCGGGTATGATCTGTTCTGGTGGTCTGAAAGTAAGTAATCTTGGTTGCCTTTTGTAGAACTTACGCCGGTGAGGACTGTATTGTTTAGGTTGGCGAATGAGTGTATCAATCGATTTGGCACAGAACTGCTTTTTTTTGAAGTCTTTGAATACGATTATTTCGATTTGGCTAAAGGTCTTTTCTTTTGACTCTATCTCAACTGTGTGACAGGTAGGAAGCAATGTAGGAGGATGGAGCTCGACCTATAGCTTCATCGCTCCACATCCTCGTGCTGATGAAACAAATGCTCTCATATTCGGTGACATGGGTACTTCGATTCCTTATTCAACGTATCAATACACGCAGAGCGAGAGCAAGAATACCGTGAAGTGGCTCACACGGGACCTAGAACAAATAGGTGACAAACCTAGCTTCGTAGCGCACATTGGTGACATAAGCTATGCTCGTGGTTTATCTTGGCTCTGGGACAACTTCTTCACCCAAATCGAGCCCGTAGCTGCAAGATCACCATATCATGTTTGCATGGGAAACCACGAATATGATTGGCCTGGGCAACCTTTCAAGCCAGACTGGTCACCATACCAAACAGATGGAGGCGGAGAATGTGGCGTGCCATATAGCTTACGCTTCATCATGCCGGGAAACTCCTCCTTACCCACTGGAACTACCTCCCCAGCCACCAAAAACCTCTATTATTCCATTGATGTTGGGGTTGTGCATTTCCTCTTCTATTCTACCGAAACCGATTTCCAGGTAGGCTCCCCCCAGTACACTTTTATAGCCAACGACTTGAGAACAGTTGACAGGAACAAGACGCCCTTTGTGGTATTTTTGGGCCATCGGCCGCTCTATACAACCGATTACCGAGCCTTGTTAGACACGATGACACAGAAATTAGTTCAAACTTTTGAGCCTTTGTTGATAGATACCAATGTCACTGTAGCCTTTTGTGGCCATGTCCATAAGTACGAGCGAATGTGCCCCTTGAAAAATTACACCTGTATTGAACCATCTAAGGCAAACGGTGAGCTTCCAATTCATATGGTGGTGGGAATGGGAGGTGCTGATCACCAACCCATTGATGACCCTCTCCCCAGTCAAAGTCAGCCTATCTTTCCTCAGCCCAGCTGGTCAGTATTTCGAACATTTGAATGGGGATATATCAGGCTACATGCAACGAGACATCTCATGACGATTTCATATGTTGGTAACCACGATGGGAAGGTGCATGATGTTGTCGAAATTCCAGTTCTGGATGATATCAAGTCTGGAGCATATGTTGAGTCGAGGGAGTCTTTTTTTGACACTGCCAGCGGAGTGCAAATACCTTGTGGCAGGTCTGAGAATATTGTAGCATTCCTGTTTGTTTTAGCGTTGGGTTGTGGATGCGGGGCGGCTGCTACTCTTTTTTTCATGCGGAGGCAGCAGAGGAAGCAGATTTGGCAGCCTGTCAACCGTGAGGAAGCTAGTTCTTCTCAATTATAAGAAATTGTTTTCTACCAATATTTGATTGTTTTCATTGATTTGTGGATCGCCTGTGTAGTATGATAACATGAGGTCTTTTCTTATTTTTTTCCTTTTTTGTTTTGCTCTCGCTTCCTAAAATCGTGGCTAAGTAGGGATTTCTATTTAGACTACATCAAAGTACATGTAGAGAAGAATGCTTCACAAGGGCGTTTTGCAAAACACTCCTTTTGTGTACCGGATTGGAGTTTTCATAATGTAATTTTTTACCTCCTAAAGGTTTTTTAAAATTTAGAGGTTTAAAATAATCAAGATGTGGTCAATAGAACATTGATGTTCTTTATCTTGTGCGTTGACACTTCAAAAACAATGACATAATACTACATATATGTATATATATACACACATAGAAGAGAATTAACTTCGTCCTTCTTTCTAAGTTGTATTTTATTGAGAATAGCCATGTCATAGGCTTGGCTTCATTTATAGTTTTTTGAAAATTGAACCTTTAATCCTTTGCTTTAATACACACAAATAAATTGGTATCTATGTTCTTTAGTAAGTTCTTAGATGATTTTTCATAGGATTAAAGATAAAAATATATCTCAGCTAATAAATATTAGATGGAGGCTAAAAGATAAAGATAGGCTATTTGGAATAACACTATAATTATTTTTAGAATAATCTTTGATTTCATTTGTGTATTTAGCATATTACATAAAAAAATATTATTTTAAAATAAAACTTATATAAATAGAAACTTTAGTTTTTCAATTCTATTATTAGATTTATATTTATATTTAGAACCTATTTATATATAGTTTTGCATAAAAAATACTTTTTTTGTGTTGTTTTTTAATTGTTCTTACAAAGTGTGATATCACAAACAACTTCAAAGCAATCTTTTCAATTCTAATTTTAAAATTATAATAAATTTTATATCGTATATTTAAAAAATAATTAAACATCATATTATTTAATTTAAAATAAAATAAAAATAAATTCCACTAATAAGTACATTATATATTCTTTACTTAAAACAAATATTATTTTTATTTAAAAATAAAGATGTAATAATTTTCTTAAAGAACTAGTTATAAAATTAAGAACATAAATGGTATTGTAAGTAATATTTAAAAATTATAATAATTTAATATAGAAAAAATACTATATTATATATATACATATATATATATGTATGTATATATATACACATAGATAGATAGATAGATAGATAGATAGATAGATAGATAAGAGAATGATAAAGCGATCCAAATTTTTACTAAAGTGATTCACTCTATCTTAACCATCATTGCACATTTGTAGACTCCATTCCTATTCTTAACCGTTTTCCATTCCCATCTATTGCTAAGGATGGAGCAAGGAGCTAGGAATGGAGGTAGGGGGCTAGGAACGTTGAAAATAGGAACAACAATTGAAAATAAGAGAACATCTAAGAATGGGGATGCGGTTGAAAAGATACAATGATGGTTTACACATGTACGTTAATTTAGTAAAAATTTGGATTACTTTATTATTTTCTTATATATATATATATATATATATATATATATATTTTCTTATATATATATATATATATATTTTCTTATATATATATATATATATATATATATATATATATTTTTTTTTTCTTATATATATATATATATATATATATATATATATATATATTTTCTTATATATATATATCGGCATATATATTTAAAAAATTTAAAAATATATTATGTAAATAGTAATAATAGTAATAGCTTAAATTTAAAGAACTTAGTATATTTAGATATAGTAATAATTATTTATTTAAAATAAAAATAAATAATGATAATAGTAATGATCAAATAGTTTTTTATTTTATTTTAAAATTAACTACTTTAAAAAATATATTAAAATCGTATATATATTTTAAATTAAGAGAAAAGAAATTATGATAATTTTTTTATTTTTATAAAATAAACCTAAGTAGATATTTTTTTGAATAATTTACTATATAATTAAATTATGATGATAAAATCAAATTATAAAAAAAGAAATAATATCAATTAAAAAAATATTATAAAAATTTATAAAATAAAACTAATATATTCATAATTTTATTATAATTTTATTCTAATTTTTTTATAATATTTTTTTATATTAAAAAAACCATAATAACTTCCTATATTTAAAAATAGTTAAAGAGATTTTTTTATAAAATCCTTGTATATCAAAAAAAACACTTATAATCTTATCTACATTCTTTATGTGGTTTTTAAGTTATTTTTATTTTTATCTTTATAGAATTCTTCAATAATATAATGTACTTTAAATTGATAGATTTTACTATTTGATAATGGTATGTTTGATAAACCTATAAGAATACCATCAAATATCATAAACTTGAAATAAATTATGTTTTTTTTTCTTCACTCTAAGTAAGAAAGTTCTATCCTTAACTTCTAATGCTTGCATTTGACTCTTCAAACACACTACAATTACAAAATTATCTATCTATATGAAAAAAATTAACTATCTTATATTTGGCTAAAGTGTTAAAAATTTCATTTGCTAGAGCAATAGGGTGATAAAACCTAGTACAGGTTTAACCTATTTATTGTTATGTTATCTAGTTATTGGAATGGATTGGGATGGTCCAAGATAGGATAGGATGGAATAGGCCAAGCTTGGAATAATAGCGACAGTGGCAATAGTGATGTAAATAAATTCAATCTCCACCTTGTTGATATAGCATTATATTTTCTATTTATTTTCTATTTTTTAATTATAGTAAGAAGCATTAATTGGTTTATTTTTTTGATTGGCAGCCAAAAACATACTCAATGTTGACAAAGCCAATGATTTAATCATATTTTATTTATAATAGAATAGAATTATAATATGATAGAATAAATAAAAAATTATGTTCTTCTATAGTATGAAAATATGTTATCTTTTTATATATGACACTCAAAGCTACAATTGTATGTTGCACTTTCACAGATGTTGCCTTATTTTGTGTCAATTTTTTATTTTTTATTTATTTTTTTATTTTTACAATATTGCCATTTCATAATGTAAAAACATATGCAGTCTTTTTACATATGGTTGTCTTATTTTATATCAATTTTTTTATATCCAATAGTACCAATTTTTACAAGTAAAAAATATAAACTAAAAAAAATATCTAGCAAAAATGCAATCCATCTTCATAAAAATCTAAAAATATTTTTTTTAAAAATTATTTAAAAATATATAAAATTGACTTGAAAAGCATATATCTTTCCAAGAAACACAATAAAATATGACAAATCTTCTTTTTATATTAAAATTGACAAAAACATATTACAACATATATAAAAGGTTCGTCTACAAATAGACATAAGTAGAATATATAAAAGAGAGAAGATAAGAAAATATAGTTGAAGTTGTACCATTTGTACTTCATCTCTTTTTACATCAATAAAGAAACAACCTTCTTTTCTATCCAAAATAAAATTAATATGGAAAAGTGGATTATGATGATGCTTTGATAATAAAATAGGACTAAATTCTTTCTAAGATCCAATACCCTTCCAATCTACAACTATATAAATCTCATCACAATGACAAAGAAAAAAAAAATAAAACAAAATAGAACAATGAAAGGCAAAACAAAATAAAAGAAAATAGAATAGAATAGAATAAAAAAAAATAAACCACATTTTATTGAAAAAAAGAGACTAAAGCCATACTTGACCAAATACCAAAATTGCCTCAGCTAATCCTATTTATATTTTGTTCAACCATCCTAGAGCTTTTTAGAATGTTTCTAATTGTAGGTCCTATCAAAATAACAAACTCTTTTAGAAGGTTCTAGAGATGAGCTCCATCTAAATAACCATCTTAAGCCCTTTTAGAATTTTATATGATGGATCTGATATAGACCACCAACTTAGTTCCAATTCTAGAAACTATTGGAAACTTCTCAAAAATGGTTCCAACTACCTATCTTTATACATCAACAATTAAAAATGCTCCATTATAGTTAATCTCTTTGAAACAAGACTAGTCTATTTTAAGAATCTAAGATCCTCCTAATCCACAGCAATATAAAAACTTCATCAGATAAGATTAAATGGACTAGAACAAAAGTGAAAAAAACTAAACACAATATGATACAAAGACAAAACTAAGTAAATGGAAATAAAAGAGAATATAACTAAATAAGAAGATGCAAAACCAATTCTTACTAAGAAAAAAGATTTGAAGTCATATCTAACTAGATGCTCAAAAAAGCCTTTGGCCAATCCTATTTATATTTTGTCCTTCAACTGTGGACTTTCTGGAATGTTTCTTGCTAATGGATCCTACTTAGATAACTACCCTAAACTCTTTTTAGAAGGTTCTATGGTAGGCTCTATTTAAATAACTCCCTTAAACTCTTTTTAAAATATTCTATGGAGGATCCTTCATAGTCGACTAATTTAGCTCCAATTCTAAAAACTTCCATTAACTTCTCAAATATGATTCCAACTATCCCTATGTGTCAACAATACAAATATCTCATCTATGTCTTATTACAATTAATCCTCCTCCACTAATGCAAAACATCCTCATTTTGCTCTCAATGAAATATCCAAATTGTTTCATAGCAATAGATAAAGTTTTGTGCATGATCCCATGTTGTATCATGGATGGGATAACCTTTTTAAAAAACTTTGTACTAAAGTTGTAGACGTTCACTACAACGATGAAGGTATCTATATTCCAAAATGTTATCTATTTTAATTCTTGTTAGTTAACAACTACAACTAGTGGTAGTGGTGGTTGATATCAATCCAGAATGTGCTTTGGTTCGATATGAAATTCCTTCAATTAAAAAACATAAAAGACTAGATGGACCCAAATATGTGGTGGAAGCTCAAGGCAATATGAATATGAGAAATCATTGCAAAAATGCAAAAAGTTCCAAGCCACCAAGAAGCTAGTTTACAAATTTGGATTGATGTAGTAAGTAGCAAATTGGCGTTAGAAAGTAATATGTGATCACTTTTTCAAAAGTTCTTATATTGCTAGTAGTTATCCACATATTTCTTCTATTGATTTTGTGTAATAAGGAGGTAGTACCATTCTTCTTATTAGGCAATTGTAAGCCATTGTATAAACTCTTCCATTGTCGAGTTGGTGTCAATGAGACAATAAGAAGTTATTAGTATAATTAAATGTTGATTAATGTTAAAAACAAATGGTGAATGATCAATACTTGCTTGAATACTATCATTATAAACAAACTCTAAGGGTGTCAAATATTCATCCCAATCATTATGATGAATTACCACAAATGTCCACAATATG